CAGAGGGCCTCAAAAGATTAAAACATCAGTGTCTGTACAACAATGGCTTCTTCAGATAGTTATGTCAAGATATCATCATTAAGCAGAGTTTGCCAGGTCCTAAAACCTCAAAAAGCATTTGTGGAGTGCTGGATGGAGCTTTGAAATCCATCTTACATTCTTCATTATGCTAACTCGCCCTTAAACCTTAAAGTACTAAACCTGAGAGAGACGGCTGAATTTACAAAAACCGCCACGGCAGTTACGGATTAGTATTCAATTACTGCTATGAGCACGTGTTCAACCACCAGACCATTACCTCAGAGTTACCATTTGTACGAAGAGAAGTCACAAAAGAGAGAAGGAGATAGTACACCAAACCACCTGTTCATCATTTTGACAGGGGCTTCTGCAGTGTTAAATTTTAGATATATATAGGTATATAGATATATTTTCCCATGGTACAATGAAAACAAAGATGTAGAGGTATTAAACATGAAAGTTTGAATGCAACCTAGAGGCAAAGGGAGGAATTTTTATTCCTTTTCACAGGTGCAGAGACTAGGAGTCTGCTACTCTGTCTATTCTTATGCAGGGCTGCTGACTCCAGCAGGCAGCCCGGGTTATCTGTATAGCTGCACGCCAGCAACCGGGCATCTACGATACATGGTATTGCCGGGGAATTAAAAACTATGCTTGTGTTTACTGCTTACTGCGGAATAAAAACATGAGGAACCACCATGCAGCAAGTTCATGGCAAAGGCACAGAATTCATGGTTTACCTGCTCCTAGTTCTGCACCCTATCCATCCCATCACGCTGCTTTTCTACCTCCATATCCAAATCAACCTGACTTTTTGCACAGGATAAAGCCTCCATCCTGCCTTAGGAGGCTGCGTCACCACCTATAAGACAGAACTGCATCGCCACATTGATTAATACAGTAGAACACACATGGATGATAGAGACAGTTGCTCTCAGCAGCATCATGCGTAAAGCAGCTAAAAGAACTTGGGAAGACTAGAAAAATCACCGTAACAGAATACAGAAATTCAGTGACATTCACTGCCTTTCATCAGTTTCCTCATAATTTGAGTTTCCTCATAATTTATTTGTTTGGCAATGCATAAGACTAGAGTTGAAAGAATAACACTTGCTGGATGCTGTTAAATCTGCTGTACTTGCCAGAAATACTTCTGGAAAGTAAAATTTTTGTAAATTTGCTTCCAATTAGTGTATAAACAAATGTTGCTTATGCCCAGCTCAACTCAGCTTCGTGGAAAATGTTCCTAACAAATGGCCATCTGATTCGTCTTCACCAGGAAGGACATACTGCATCTGAGTAAGAAGATTGGGAGAAAAATAAATGGCAACAAAGAGCACTAGGCAGACCGCTGCCATGCACAGAGAGAACAGCAGTGTGCCTTTGCTCATTTGAGATACAAATTCAAAAGAGTGGAAAAACATCCAGCTTATCTTCCTAAGTCTTTTTGCTGCTTTTTCTCAGGTCAATGACTGGAATCACACATCATCTTTCCGGAATCTAAATTTTCTGGTGCTCTGAACAAGAGATTTCAAACACAGAAAATACCCAGATTCTAGCCTTATTTCATGCTCTCTTTCTGAATCCTGTCACAAAGTAATTGATTACTTCAATCACACCGAAGTACTGATTTCCTCCCCTTGATCAACACAAAACATCTCTAGATTAGGTTTTTGGTGCTAGGAAGAATCTCATCACTATCAATCTTATTGATTGGCACCTTAAAATACTAGTGTACGAAGACCCTTAGATTTACTTTTAGGCAAAAGCTTCCACATGTACAGATGGACTGAACTCCAAACAATCCATGCTGCCAGACAGCTCACAAAAAAACAGGAGAAAGAAAGAACAGGAGATAGAAGAGTCATGAAGGGGGAGGGACTAAGAACCCAAGGTGGGTACTGAAGACAGAGGTGCTGGGTGGACTTGAGAGGCAGTGCAGACTGCTGAGTGCCACTGCAAGAATATTTTGCTCACATACAGTCCATAGACACAAAAATACATCCTCAGCAGACATACATTCCAGAACAGCAAGTACGTCACCTGCTGTTCTCTACTGCAGCAAGATTTGACCTCAAAGGGTCAAAAAAAATCTGACCCATAAGATTACTGTAAAATGTAATTTAAATGTTCCAAGTCCTACCTCCAGACACAGGTATTCATTTGTCATGTTTATATAGCAACTTAATCCCCAAGCTTCCTAAAGCATTTCACAATCAGACACTTGCAGTGCTGTGCAAATACAACCACTGCTAGGGTGGTTTCCACAATAACCAGAGCACAGGATATCATTCCACAATTAAAAAAGGAGACTGTGGTCAGGTCAAGACAACAACCAGGCAAGCAGATTTTAGTCCTTAAGAAGAGAAGTCAAGCATCACGATGCCTTATAAATCTGCTCAGGCAGTTGCACCACTTGACTGAGTAGATACATAAGTTCCCCAAATCACACAGATTTTGTCTGAATTTGAAGAGCAATGATAACCTAATACTTCTGTTGGTCCCCTCATTCACTCAAAGAGCACAGAACTACGTGTTGAATCCCGGGGTCCCAAATCTGCTGATGATCTCACCGTGTATCAATATAGTGCTTTGGGCTGGAATTAGTTTCTTCATTTTTTCCGGAAAAAAACAAGCACCACCCACGCCAACTACGTTAAAAAAATCACGAAGGCTGAAAAGTCAGGCATCAGAAAGCCTGGGAAACATTAATTTGGGTAGGCATCATGATACAGTCCAGTTCCCCCGACTGGATTCTATGACTCTATGACTGCATTCAGGGACCTTTTCCACATTCTACACCTTTGTAGGAAAACCAAATACTGCATATAAACCATTTCACTACACAGTTCCACAGAGGTCCCAGACCTGGTTCAGTCTGTGCACTGAGTAAGCCAGGAAAGCTGATAAAAACCTCAGCATATGATTAATTAAGATTACTATCGCGAATACTCACAAGTAGGGTGAAGAGAATGTATTTAGAAAGGCTTGATATCGGAATTTCCCCCTTTTCTATCTGTCTTTGGAATCTCAATTGATCCATTCTAGCTGATCGGTTTGTGACCTATATCTGTGTTAGATGTTTGCAAGATGTTTCCTCTATTTGCACTGAGATACCTTACGTGCCTAACCTCAACGTGGTTCAGGAAAACCAAACTTAGAAGTACAAACTCCTTATATAGTAAAGGGAGAAAAACAAGAGCCTCCCGGAAGAACCGATTTAACAGACCTAAGATGATTACCTGAAGTGGATGTTGTGAAAACCTCCTTAAAGCAGTAAGTTTTTGCTACTTATTCTAAATATATACCTTCTTCCTCTCTGCAGTGCCAAAGGCTTGCTTAATTCACACAGCTTTAATCAACACAAAGAAATGTAAGAAACAGATGGCTAGAGGCCAGCGTTCCAGCAGGTCTGGTTGTGTAAAACAGCGCACACCTCCGACGTGCACCGGAGGAAGCAGTGTGTGTGAAAAGGAGACGAATAAGAACTCATCTGGAAAAAAGGCAACATAACGGATATCATACAGGAAGTTTATAATGAGCAACCGAGACTGGGTCCTCAGGACTGAGTGACACTGGTCACATATGTGGCCCAAAACCCCACGCTGATAAGAATAGCTGCAGTCAGCCGGCATTAGCCAGGAACCAGTCTGAGAACACATGGCAAAACAAATGATTCAATGCAATCTGCTCATTCTGCTGCTTCCACCAAATATTGTTGCACTAACATCCTCTGCTTTTGGCCTTATTACACAGTGTTACTATTTAAGAGCATGGAAAACACCTGCAGGGATGACAGGGACCTACAGAATTACTAGCACGACAGGCTGCTGTGGAGATTCTCAGACTGTTTCCACAGATCAGCTTGAGATGTTTACACAGATCTTGCTCCTTACTCGTGCAAGAGGAAGAGAAAGGAAAGCCAGCAGGCTTGGCCCGTTTGCTCCTTTTTCTTTCTGCCAGGCAAAAAAAAGGACGCATTCTCCGGATTTCACACCAGGCACCCCAGCTTCCAGTCAAGCATCACTGCCCTTAAATTCTGTGAGGGTAACAACAAGCAGAAGTTTTACCATTCAAACCCCCACTCACATCCTCCAACTCCCTAAAACACCTACCTTCAGGCCTATAATCTCCTGAGTAAACAACGGGAGGTTTAGACCTTTTACACCGAAATTGTTCTTCCTTTTATAGTCGTGGTTGTACAAACAAATAAGCAAGCACACTAGCAAGCAGTGACGGCTAAGACTTCAGCGTCACCACAACTCATCCGTCTATTACAAGTCTTGCCATGTTTACTATTTTAAGAGCCACATATTTCACCCAGAATCAGACTGTATAGCCTATAAAAAACTCTAGGTGTCTGGTTTTTGAAACAAATTTCTACCTCCTAATGGCAAAGGCAAGATGTTTGAAAACTTGAACCTTAAAAACTGAGACAGCACAAAGAAACATATTCGAATGTTATCATTTAGGTTTGGTAAAAGCTCAGGATTTAGAAACATATCTGATAATTTCTGGGGATTTTAAGTACATGTACTCAGGTTGACAGACTGCTCTCAGTTTCAACTGAGGTTCTTTTCCTGGTTTTACCAGTAACCTTCTGTTTACCCCTTATTCTCTCTCTGTGCACTTCCTTCTTTTTTCTCTCTACCTTCCTTGTCATTGTTTGGGTCACTATAATCCTGACCCTTTAAAGCTCTAAACGTGTATCTTGACATGTTTAAATAGTCCACTAAAATGTATGGGACTACTCACAGAACAGAACATATAATATATATATATTAGTCACATAACATATAAAATAACATATATACATTTTACAATGGAGTTTTGTGTATGTGGGAAAATACACCAAAACAACGGAAAACTAGCTATTTATCTGTATCTATTACAACTACACACTATTCCTTTCTTTGGACATCCTCACTGTCAGCTCCCGTTCTGTCTGGTATCTAGAGTCATCGTAGGGCATGCAGTACCATATCACAGTGCAGCTCCAAGTTCAGGTCTCCTTTGTTAGTGTGAAGTCGCACATAGCCCTTCTTCTTCACGTATTTGTACCTCACAACATCTTCTTCAATAGCAGCTGTAACAAAGCAAAAAAACCAATTAGCTCTCTGGAAGCTTACTCACTGATCTTCAGAAAACATAAGAAAACAAATTGCTACATTCTACTGCCTGATCTCTTCCCCTGGGGTACTAGGTCTGCAGGGATTATACTCTGCAATTAATCTACGACAACTTCACATTAATCTCTGTGCAAAACACTTTCCATTATAGAAATCCACCAACTCCTCGAGAGCCAGCAATATCATCTATATTATTAAGTCACAGAAGCATTCAATGTTACAAACTATAATTTTCAAGTTATGTCTTCCAATCACAAACGTTACTTTGAAACCAAATTATTTGTCATCAAACTTGGAAGTCAAGCAGGCAGTCATCAGTCAACCACAAATTGCTGACATATGAGGATCTACCCAGCTCGGAAAACAAATGAAGCTGTTACTGGAAACATTACTGGAAAGTCAAACCAAAGGTTCAACCTAGGATGTTTCCATCTCCATTCTGTCGAAATGTCCAGTTAGTTACACTTTTTGAACACTCAGAGAGCCACCTGCAAATCACCGTAATCCACCAAGTAAAGGAAGTGAGATGGGTAAATGTAATTTTAGCAATGTATCGGAAATTTGCCTGTGTGACATCTCAATTTTAGTGCCAAAAGCCAGATCCTTCTCTTCAACTTGGAATAACAACTGCTCAGCTATTTAATTAACATTCAAATTAAATAAATTCTATACATTTGTGCTGAGGCTGGAGAACGAAAGGAAAACTTTATTGTACTAAAATATGTTCTCGTGTAGCCTTGAAGAGTAGTAAATTAAAAGTTATCAACCCAAGATTTGCTGTCATGCTAACCAATACCGGGTTAGGTGAGAGGCAGTAAAGATTTTGTATGCTATTTGAGGAGAGGTTACACCTCGCTCCTAACTTACATAAGTGGATATCTCATTTTGTGCTTCCTCATAAGAGAAAATCTCATTAATTTCAGTTCAATGTAAGTAACTGACATTCAAAGATGAGGCTAATTCATAATTGCTCCATTATTTTCAGAATGAGCTCAGTGGAAAGTAAGGATATATCTGCTAAGGGAATACATTTCCATGGCATTAGCACTCGTTCAGTCCTTATTAATGTATATGTGCTAGGGAGCACACTTTAAAACTGCAAAGTTAATAAACAGCTTGTAGGTAGGTAGTACTGGTACCTGCTTCATGGGTAGTTTCAGGCACCATTGCAGTGGAGGTGAAGGAAGCACTTACTGCTCCAGTGGAATAATGAGCCTGTTCACAGAGGAAAAAGCAGAAGATGACATTAGAAATTATTTACTAAAGACACCATATAAGGACTAGAAACACACAAATGTCATGCTTCTGAAGACACACGTTCTGCTCTAGCTCCTACAGAAAGAAACAAATGCATGATGCAGCGATAATTCTCCATCTGTTCCCCAGAACACCTGCTCTGATGAAACTCTAAGGCTGACCATGGACTGAGCTGAAAGGGGTTTATTGCTTCCACTACAGTTTCTACATCATTATCTACTGTATTATCAGAATCTTCGTATGTCCACAGGTGGAGATATGAAAGGAGTACTGCTGGCAAGACATCTGTAAAATTCTCCAACCCTGTGGAGTAAATAGAAGGAAAATCCAGCAAACCACAGAGATACTGCGGAGAAAAACAAACCACCCCGCTTCCCCACACACAGCCCCTCTGTGTGCAGAGGCACTCGCCCATGGTTCCCAATGTCTATTTTGAGCTTTCTGATTCTCCCACAGAAAGGGACACATGGATTTTGTGGTAAATTACAAAGATCTAATAAACCCGGAGATACCTTTAGTGGCTTTAGGGCAACGCCTGCAAAGACCACAGATCAGTCCAGTGCTCCATCCACAGGACTACGCTGCACCCTGCGCAAGTTTAGGGTTGTGCCCTTCCACATCAGCAGCTGACAGTCTGCAGAGCTCACTGTTGCCTCCCACCTCTTCTTTTTCTTACCACATCTTTTGTTTTCTTACAACACTGTGATGCCCTCAAAAAGGGGCAAATGTGATCCTACTCCTTGGTCACCCCCCCCCCCCAAACTGTCACTAAGCCCCTCATTAGGTCACATGCCGCGTTGCTATTCGTTCTCATGGAAGTGTAATCAAAACCCGAAAGCACACACATCCCAGAATTGTTAAAGAACGCTCTGTCTTGTCCATTTCAAAGAGCCTTTGATGTAGGAAATCTAGATGCAGATGAATTGTTTCTCCTGATAACCATGAGCACACACTAACATGCACCTGGAAGAAGATCCTTTAAAGTCTTCCACTAAGAAACTGCATTCCAGTGGTAAAAAAAGGAGAAGCAGCTGTGGATGATTTATATATTTGCCCACACCAGAGGTGATTCACTTGCACTGCCCTTAAGGTGTATTCCCTCTGCCAATAACTGCAGGAAACCATGATAAACAAATTCAAAGCAAGAGATTACAACCTGGGAAAAAGGTTCTGCCAACATATACATGATAACCACATCACAAGAGATCCTTCCTGCTTACTGTGCTCCATTTCTGAAACATTTAAGTTCATTTACAATGAAACGAAGAGCAACTCACTGACACATACAAAGTATTTCTAAGGAATCCCACTGTGACTCTCATCCTCATCTATGATTAATTCCCATGTAACAGAAAACAGAAGGAGTAGTATCTGTTACACTGCAATGTGGCCTCTAAGCTGAAAAACATCTATTACCAGTCTTGAAGAAGTCAATCAGATGCCAAACTACAAATTAAGTCAACTTACTGCATTCAGCTTATCCACTTTCTTCTTTTCAGGAGGCTTCATAGTAGCTGCAAGAATATCATCACCTTTGAACTCCTTATAAAGCTCCAGTAAAGTCTCTCGGGTCTCTGTATTTGTATTTTTCAAATAGTAAGATGGATCTAATTTTGCTTTTTCTTCATCTAGATAAGACAAAGTTAAATCAGAGTTAAAAGAAAAATTCTATTTTCTTCTCCTTCAGTTTATGACATACCTATTTACGCAAAAATCTTTCAGATATTATTTCTAATTTTTTTAAGTGAAAAAAAGGTCTAGTAACTATTCCTGCAGAAACAGCAACAAATAGCAACACATAACATTAATGACAGTACAGCTTGTCAATATGACAAATGCCAAGATGATGAAGTACAACAAAAGAAAAAACCAACTTTTTGGACTAGATGATCTTGTTGGACTAAATGATCTTTTGAGGTCTCTTCCAATCCCTAACATTCGGTGACGCTGAGAACTTCAACTACCACAAAAATTTCTTTGAAACCACGAGAAGTTCATACAAGTCTTGTAAATTTTTTACAGAACAATAAAGATACAGTTGGGTACAATATAAACTTCTGTCCTTTGTCTCCTCGCTGAAAGGCCTGTGATGCAACAATCCCAAGATGAGATCTTTACTGTGATGTTAGAGGGGAGGAGGCTGATGAACTGGACTGTAGAATTTGATGTGGTTTTTTTTCAGTTTGTTTAATTTTTTTAAAAGTTTCACTTATGCCCTTTCTTGGTATGGCTACTATTTGCTGGATATTAAATATTCCATCTCTGAGATAACATCCATTTATTTTTTATGGGTAAACACAGATGCTGGCTTGCAGAACTAGAGCTTAAAAAAAGAAAAAGAAATAAGCATAGTAAGAGCCGCACCATGCTTAAAATAAGTAACTAGACCTCATGAGAAACACTTCTAAATGAAACTCTAAGGGCAAAGGAGAGAATTTTTTCTTCTGCAACTTAATATTAACAGATATTACTAAGCATTTAGCTATCAAAAATCACAGAAAAAAATAACTGAGAAATAAATTTCTCAGATATCTAGAAAGAAAAAAAAAATTTTTATTATTAAAATAATTTTGAGACTATTAAAAGAAATTCTGTATCAATTGTTAACTTGGAAGATGTCCACTATTATTCAGACAGAAGGATGGGCAATACATCATTGATACCCATGAAAGAGAGCCAAGCAGGTAGAGATGAGAAGACGTAGATTTCCTTGTCCTGGTTCTGGTACAAGGCTAATGGACCTCCTGGCACATTATTTTCCCTCCTCACTTCTCTGTCTTCTACCTACTCTTAAAGAATATGGAAAGCTTTCTGTTTGTACAGCACTCATCGGAGACAGTCGATGATTCCTCAAAGAATCAGGTCTTTGCTTCAAAATTGTTAATAACTTTCGATGTGAAAGGGACAGTTTCAACAAGTTATTCTGTTTCCAAGAAGACTTGTTGTCTTCAGAATTTGCATACGTGGGTTGGTATTTTCTCAGCCTACCTTCAAGTTATCCTTACCTGGATCAATTACTTTTATGTTGTTCTTCACATGAAAGAAGTTTGAGACATTGAACTTATCCAAGTTTGTTGGATCCTGAAAATAATAATTAAAAAATAAGTATCAGAGAGCGTGGTAGACACCCATTTCATGCAATGGACTAGTCTGAAGTGCAGACACCACCATAATAAACAAATAGGGAGAGAACGGATAACTTCTATACTCCCCAGACCACAGAAAGATGAAAATACTATAAAGCAATCCACCCCAACCAACATCAGCAATGAGCCCTGTCACAGCAGGTTCCTTCAGGATCTAGAATTTAGTCCCAAACATAATATTACGCATATTGTGCCTAGAGAAGTTACTAATGGAACTAAGAAGAGCCTCCCCTCTCCTAGCAAAAAGAAAGAACAAGAAGCAGCAATTCCCTGATTCTTTTCTTCATTCTGTGGTTTTGTCTAAGATCTATGCAAATTCACATTAGTTATCTCTTTCTATTTATAACAGCGTGCCTGATTTGCACATGCTCTGTGAACTCCTGTAACACGTTTCAAAATATAAATAAACCTCAGAGCAAGTCTAAGCAGTCGGAACTGTTTTGATTGTTTGGGGTTTTTTTACTAGTGAAATCTGTGCTTACAGAATTACATTTAAAAATAAAAAATAATAATAATAAAAAAGCAACATAAAGCGGAATTATGAAAACTCTATTGAATGACCACTCAAGGAAAACGGCAAAAATACACAGTCCATTAACTGCCAGTCTCTATGCTATCTCCAGGCAGCTTTCTGCATAACTTTGACCTTTTGTTAGAGAGAGTCAGACAAGGAATGCCCACTGGTGATCTAGGTTACATTATACTGTTATTAAACAGTCCTTAAGCCTCTTCTTGCGATGACTTCATGGTTTTCTCCTCAAGCTCCTCTGCAGCACAGAAAGGTCAAAACATCAGCCCAGGACACCCAGTCATTTCTGCAAATTCTGTCTTACGAAAAAATAATTCAAAATTTGAAGCACCAAAGTATCTTAATAATACACAATAGTTTCAAGTTCCGGATGAAAATGCAATGTTCACATTTGTGTAACAATGCAAAGAACTAGGACAGTAACGTGAATTGTATTATGCCACGTAAATACAACAAAGCTTCTCAGATCACCACTGTTGGTAAGAAGTTTCAATAATTCCATCTCTGCTGAAAGTAATGATTAACACAAGCAGAGCTGGTAGTTCCATCGCTTATTAAATGGTCTAATTATGTCTTTGATTCATCCCTGAAACTGCATGCTTCCACCAGAGACTGCATTTTCAGTTTTACTGCTGGTAGGAAAACCAAAACACATTTATGAAATCAAGCTGTGTGATTATGTACCCTAATGATGACCTCCTGGCTGCCTGCTGCCCCCTTTCCCAACTGCTACACAACCATCTTCTATTGTTTCCTGCCCTACCATACCCCTCTGACAGATCTTCAACAAGACACAGACTGCCAAAACCCCCTTATTTTCAGATCTTGCCTTAGAAATGAATAATCTTTAAATAAAACTACTATGGAATGGGAAATCTGGACCGTTTTTAAACCATTTTTATATCCTCTGGCCCAGCACTTGGGTGTATTTATTAGCTCGCATAGATATTTACGTATGTACGAACAAAGAGAATTTCAGCCTCGCTCTCTGACAGTCAACCAGGTGCACGAAGAAAGGCTGGAGAGGGGCTCAGGGTGCTTCCTCCGAAAGGTTGCCTCCTCCCAAAGACTCTTCAGCAATCATGAGCTGCAGCTTTCCTGGACAGAAATCATCGCTTTGCACATAAATGTACCACCTCAAAAAGTGACGTAAGACTGCTTACACTTTCCAGAAAAGGAAAAAAAACCTAATTTGTGTATTAATATTAATGGAGCCAAATGGATTCATAACAATCCACATGTTTGCTGTTTATGGAAAAGCTGAAGGGCAAGACTGACGCCTGACACTGACCTTTCACGGACAGGAGGGAGGGCAGGAGACAGCAGTAAAGACGAACCAGAAAACACCTTTCCCATATTCCTCTAACTAAAGCTTCTTGATTTACTGATTTATCGATTGATTAAAAGTAAATAAAAGGACATCACAACTGCCAGTGGCTTATGAAACCAAGTGTTTTGTGCTCAGGGTACCATGAATCAGATGAGTTCGAACTGTTTCACACTCACAGTTCATTCAAGCATTTACCTGCCCTAATCAGCCTAAGCGCAGGCATTGAGCGACTCTGGCAAAAGCGTTCAGTCTCCTTCCCTGCAAGGGATTTCTCAGCGCTCCCCAAGCTGCTGCTCACCTGCCCATAGGCAGCACATCCATCACGGTATGAAGGAGAGCAGAGATCCCAGGGCAGCTCTCTCCCCTTGCAGAGCGCAGCCGTGCATGTGCCTTCTGAGAGACCCGAGACAACCTCGAACCCCCAGACCTGAGACCAAGGATGTCTGCACAATGTCCTTCATCACGTTCGGGGGGGCCATTTGGTCATACGGAAACCTCGACAAAGGTTTCATTTACAGTGTTGCCCCTTGTACTCCTGGTTCTGTAAAGCAGGAGTCTCACCGTGCATTGACAAGGCAGACAACCCACATGCCTTCTTCAAAATCAGTTTCCCTATGTCAGTGGAAAAACCCCTCAAAGGCGGTTCCTAAAGTTGAAATTTGAATGTCACCTTACACAGGTCACCTAGGACAAGCAGTTGAAGTTTGATTAGAATGAGACAAACAGGTGTGTGACAGTACTGTGGTGAATATTAACTTCAACACAAGGCACCATTTGCTTCTACTCTGCCCAGGAGCAGAAACACATCTGACCAGTCCAACCTGTGCTGCAGAAGACACAAACCGTTTCCTTACTGATGGTACTCAAGATATAACACAAGATACAATTTTTTTAAGAATATGTCTATGTAAATTTTAACAGTGCACAGTCTTTAGACATATCACTTCATGAAGAAAACTGTCTAAACTCTCGTCAAGGGTTAG